GCTATTGCATAGCTATCCTATTATTATTCTTTGCCAATGTAAATATATTTTGTAACTATTTCTTAAAATGATATTGCTTAATAGACTTCAAGATTATCTTACATTATTGTTAGAACAAGCTATTTCAATCAAGATTGCATGTCCATTATATTCAGTATTTTATACTGGTGACCATTCCAATAGCACTGTTAGATTTGTTGTCAGAGTTAATTTCTCCATTTTAAAAAATGGAAAGCATTTAGGAAAGAGTTCTTTATTATGAGAGAGTTTCAAAATACTTTGGGTAGCTACAGAACATGGGAATCTAAGAGGTGCTGCACTTCAAGCTGACTTTGCTGCATTGGCATCACTCCTGTTGACTTCCTTGACATCAAAATCTTGCCCAGAAATTCTCTTGTTGCAGTGTCTTATGGGAAACCAGTTAAGCAGAGACTCAACACACCAAAGTTACATACCCTGATTGTGCTTTTGGTTTCCACGAAGTCAGTGAAATCCTGTATTTGTCAAATTCCGTGGCAAAACATCCATTTGATTGAATTTCATCTATAGCCTTCCTGCATTTGGGTCTCTTTATGCTGCACCCAGAGATTCCCTGCTTGGAAAACATTCTTACTCTATGACAGGCTACTGAGAAACTGGTGACAGGCTACTGAGAAATTGGTTTGATATGGAATGCCAGCAGAATTTTTAAAACAAGCCAATAAAATGTGGATTAGGGTATGCAAAGGGTATTTCCTCAAGATTTTTAAAGGAAGCCAAACATGAAATTGCTGAGTAACTGGGCTGCTGCTTAACTTGGCCTTTTTGCCAGAGAAATTGGGGGTTACAAATAAATGATTTTTGAAAAGGTGATCTGGGAGATGCAGGGAACAGAGTCCCCCAGGGATCACTTACTGGACCTGTGCTCTCTCCTGTTTTCACCAGTGGTCTGGAAAAATAGATGAGGAGAAATAGGTGACAAAATATGTTGACAATACAGAATTCTTCAGGTTAGTAAAAAACCAGGCCTAAACAAGAAAAACACGACAGAACTTTCTCATTGGTAGTGTGTAATGTTGATAAAGCAGTAGACAAAGTTGCAGGTCACTAAATAAAAAACAATTACTTAATTGGAGGGAAAAATGGTCCTAAGAATGCACAAATTGCAGTGTGCTCTAAATAAGGTATTTTTGCAACTGAGAAAGGATATATGTAATCATAAGAGATGTTGTGAAACTGTGAACTGTGGAAAGAAGACAAACAGAATGTTAAGAGTCTTTAAAAAGCAACAGAAAAGAAGATAAAGCAGTATTTGCAGATGTATAAATCCACATTGTGCCCTCAAGTGTGTATGCAATTTTAATTCACTTCCTCTGCATCTCAAAAAGGTTTTATTGAACTTTGCAAAGTGAAATTTTTAAAATATCAAATTTTTTTATTTGTTCTTTTTGGATTTAAATCCATGCTAGGACAGAGAGACTGGACTAGAATTATACAGATTAAGATTATTCTAGTTTGGGAAGACACAAGTGGAGAGGCAGAATTTATTTAAGTACAGAAAATTATGAGTTGTGTAATTGGCTGAATAGGAAAGCTGAAGGGATAACAACGGTCAAAGTAAATTGTCGTGACACTATCAGGTATTATTTTTTATTATTATATAAAAGGAAACACATTTTCTACAGATTAAATCAATTAGCAAAAGTTGCAATTCATTTTCCCAGCATTTGTAGGTTCAAAAATGAAGAACACATTCATAATTATCCCCTGATGACTATTAAACATGATAGCACAATTTCAGACCTATAAAATCTCAAAGCCAGCAATTGCTGGAAATTGGAAGAATATATTTTTTTTTAGAATCCTTGCTTAATCAATTGCTACGGTTGAAGATATGGAGCTAGAAAGTGTACTGTCTACTGCAGATGTTATTGTAGATAATAATATACTTGGAGAGCACAGGTCAGCAAAGAACCTGATGTGTAATAGTGTAACTAATGATCTTTGAATCGTTTCAGGCATTTGGAGGAAATCTGCTGTATTTTATTTCAGTACCAGCAACACCTGAATCTTCACTGTCCACATGCTTTAAATGCAGTCTCCAAATCCACCTCTTTCTTCTCAAACTTTATGATAACATATAAAAAGTCAACAGTAATGTAACACAAAATGCCAACTAACCATTCATCCTCTGACTGTTTAGGCTGGCTGGAAGTGCTGAACTTCCTTATGCGGTTCAGTCAGTCACCCCTACCCTGTGCTTGGATTTGAATTGCTGCACAAAAACAGCCCCACTACCACTTTCTAAAAGCAGCAAATCTGTCAGTGTAGAGTCGTGACGGCCGATAAAGATACAAGAAGTCATTATGTGCAGAAAAGATGTCTGAATCTCTCTTTATTTTCTCATCTGCTTTTTTATACCCCTTGCTAGCAGCAAGCAGTATCCTTATTTTAGGTAAGCAAGCAACAGCGTTTTCATTGGCTAGGATCTATGGGCGATACATTTGGCGAAGCTCAAGGCCTTACTGCAGTTCCCACATCCCAGGCCTACCAACTTTGCAGCCTGCCTTTGTTTTCTCCATTAGGGCTGCATACTGACTTCCTTATCATCAAAGATACACCTGAAAATTTTCCCAGTCGATATCTCCATCCTGGGAGGTAATAGACCTGCTATTAACCCCTTCACAAATCCACTTGTTTGCTTATTCCCAGTATGAGACTCTTTCTCTACTTTTTTGTGGAACTCTAAGAATGGAGGAAATACCCTTTGGTTTCCTCACTTAAGTTTTTAGACAAAATGTCACTGTATTTTTTTAATTTGTTCTCCCAACCTTGGGCTGTTTGAAGACTCTTGGTTTTCATCATTCATAGACTGGAGAATGTGGATCACATCCTACTGTGCATTCTTAGTACTTTATTACCATGGATGTCATTTACTACTAGATGTTTGTATTGAGGATAGCAGGTGATAGCAAGTTTAAATATGTATGTCATACTGACTGCATAAAATGGCAGCAGCTGAAATAAGAATTCCACAACAGGAGAGTTTTATTGTGGAAGAAGAGTGTTGCAGTGCACAAGTTTGATATGAGCTCCCCTGTTCCTTTGCCAATAAGATATACAGCAATAAAGTGTTTCTTAATAAAATTGATAAACAGAAACATCATTCTCTCCTCTGGGCTCAGTTGTCATCACATCTTGATGCCAATTGAATCAAGCACATCAAGCTACAATGCCAATTGAATTTCCATAGGTGACATAAATATCCTCTTAACTCGTGGCAGATGTAAGGTAATATGACTGAGCTTAATCCTTAATCCTGAAATATTTACTTTATCTGATCACTGTGTGCACAAAGCTGTTGTGACTCTTGTGAAATTTGACTTGACCATGTATTTAACTCATCCTTATAAGATGTTTTTCATGGTAAATAGGTTGCCCTAAAAGAGCAATTAGCTTGAGGTAGGAGTGCATGTGCAACATTGCTTCAAAGGTCTACCCTCACATGGGGAGAGCCAGCCCTGCATTCCTTCTCTCTTGCATGGCAGTAAGTCTTTCCAAAGTCTAAATGTGGTTTTGTTCAGCCCTACCAGCACTTTTTTCCTTTTTGAGTTTCCTCCAAAACCTTTATATTCTCTCTTGTGCCCAACACCTCTTTTTTCCTTCCTTTTTCTTTCTTTTTCTATTTTTTTTCTTTTTTTAATTTTCTCTCTCTCCCAAAAAAACCTTCATGAATCCAGAATTGGACAGCAACATAAAACTGAAATCAAAATCCTTTGAAGATGAAGACATTTTAATGCAATATGAAGATCCATAATACTCTATCTTACAAGTATACTGAATTGACAGTTGTTTTTAATATGAATATTCTATTTCAGCTTGCTACATTATGTACCTAGACAATCTACTTTTTTTAGTTCATCCATCCCAAAAGCAGCAATGTATTAATGGTATTTCTTTATATGGTGTTAGTCTTGCTTAATAATATGCTCAAAATATTTATCTTGGATTTTTTCCTCTTTTTTTTTTTTTTTTTGTTAAACAGAGGGAACTATTTTTTCTGGATTATGTTTTGTTATTTTTGAATTGACAGGTTGGATGTTACTAGACAGTAACTGTATTTTTGCAGAAATAAGGGAGTTACCTCTCTTTCGAAGAATAATCTGATGAGACAACTGAATATGAGTTGGTTTGAGAAGATTGCAACTGGAAAACTTAGCTTCTTTAATTTGAGAATTAAAATTTTAGAATATTTTCATGACAAAATATTTTGTCCATACACTGTTGTCAATATTTAGAATTTGCTTACAATGGGCTCCCTAATTCCAACAATCAAGCGTGTCTGTGTGTTTCTTCCTTTTTTTATCTTTTTTGTTTTGTTTTGTTTTCTTTTACTCTTCTTTATTTTGTTTTTAAGTACCCTTAAAAGAGGGAGATATCAGTGAAAATGGGATTAAAAGCATTTGTGAAATCAGAACAGAAATGGAAGGCTGGGATCATAACGGTTTTGGATACTTCCTCAGATCTGAGGAACATCATGGTAAAGTTGCCCTATTTTAGGCTGGATTTTGTTGTATATAGGTTAGTTGCTGCAATGGGTTGCATAAGACTTCCAGAAGCAGTCAGGAACAGTGTAGGTGAGTTTTTAATTCTGCCCTTCCCTTTTTATTGCTCTGCCTTGCAAGACAGAGTATTGTGGTTTCCATTTAATCACCTCTGAAATAATTGTCCAATTACACAATAATACATTGCCAATCCTTCATAAGTTTCACGTGTTCAAAATAGACAAGGGAGTGGTGTTGGAGACACCTGCAATTGAGGACATTGGTGGAGAGGTGAGAAAATGGAAGATATTTGTAGTGGTCAGTAGCAACTGCAGTGTTAAAGGTTCTCTTCAGCTGGTATAGTGTGAGGTCTGAATGTCTCGGCTAATTAGAGAAGATGATTTGCCTCCAGGTCTAAGGTGTAAGCTTTGAATAGATGAAATGTATTAATCACAAGTTTCTGTTCTGTATTTTCAGAAGAATGGCGTGTCAAACGGAACTCTCTACAAAAAGACATTTATTGAGCACTTTGAACAGGCACCAATGTATGTTGCAGTTTTTACTGTCGTGGGTTTTGCAGTGGGAACAATATTTGGCTACCTGCGAGATTTTATGAGAGCCTGGGGACTAGAAAAACGTAACATTGCTGAAGAGAGAGAACAACAAAAAGTATGTATGAAAAAGATGTTATGTATCCACAGCTGAGTTTTCCCCTGCTTGCAAGTGATTTACAGCAACCTGTTGAACTAACAAGGAATACACCTTTCATCTCAGAGAGCATTGCATAAGGATGAGGGGAATGACTCACACTGCAGTAGAGTTATATGCACGTGTACTCTTATGTACCTGTATATATAGGTAAAATCATGATTTTTACCCAGAGAGATGTTCATGTTGTTCCAAGAGTGTCATAATACTCTCAGCAAAATAGAGGTGCACTTAAGTTGATCCACAAAACAAGAAAACTCAGGAATGCCTTATTGTTAAATATATCATCTTGTCAAATCTCTTAAACCCCGATCTTCCTTTGTCCCACCTGGCTACCTTCACATCCACAGGCAGTGATTTTTGTAATTGCTGGCTTATGTTTCCTGAACTGCTGCTCACAGACCACTCGGGAATCATGTCCTGGCACAAAGTGAATGTAGCCTGAATTCTTGTAAGTCCTGACTTAGAAATTTTTTCATCCCACATAGTTCTAAGTGAAACTTACACCTTAGCAAGCTCAACTGCCTTCCAACTTTGTTTAGAATTTTTGGTTGCTCCTCTTTCTCTGTGCAGTTTGAGTCATCATTTACAGTAACACCTGGCAAAATGAAGGGAAAATGGGAATAGTGTTACTGTTCCCCTTACAAATAAAATTCTGAAATTGTTTCCTGATTTATCTTTCCAAAGCTGAATGCACAGCTTAATGAATATCATTTTCAATTCACTTCATGATTTGGCCACTTGTTGATTCCAGTTGTGGCAGTTAAATTTTCTTGTCCTTCAGCATGGATTACATGTTCATTTAATTTCCCTATGTATGTCAACTGTGTGCCGTGTTATTTTATCAGTTTATTGTATCCAGTGTCCAACATGGATATATTCCTGTTTCATATAAAACTTTGTTTAGATTCCTTACATTTTTTAAATTTAATTTCCAAGTAAAATCCATAAATAGAAATTGTCAACCAAACCAGTTGTATTAACTGGCTGTTTGCATGTCTAGTCTAGGCCAGCAATGCCCAGATCACTTACTGGAGTAGCTTTTATCTAATGTATCCAGCATTTCTTGAAATGTAATGAGTTGTTTATCTTGGTTTTCAGTCTGCTCCACACATAGCAAGATGCTCAATTTAAAGCAGTTGGTTTCTCCAAGTGAAAGAATCTTTAATTTTTCCATTTCCAACTTTCAAGATACAAATGGAGAGTTAAACCAGCTTGTTGACCATTTAAAAAAAACAAGCAGTTGACACCTCCTCATAGAAAAAAAAGAACCCAATCTAAAAACACAAGCAGACAAACAAAAACCAACAAAAAACTCCACCACTTAAAAAATCCAACACTGTGTTTCAAAAGAATTAAAGTAAGATACTTGATTTTTGGAGTTGTGTGTGACATAGGAATATGTGGCTGTTACAGCTCTCTGTTTACTAATGAATCCAGTTTTCCTTGTTAATGGGAATGACTTGGGTACAGAAGCAGACATTTTCCCAGCAACATAACCCCGTGCATGTTTTCAAACCAGGATTTTGTACCACTTTATCAAGATTTTGAGAACTTTTACACCAGAAACCTCTATATGAGAATACGGGATAACTGGAACCGGCCAATTTGCAGTGTCCCTGGGCCACAGTTTGACCTCATGGAACGTGTTACTGATGATTACAACTGGACATTTAGGTGAGTCATCTTACACTCTGCACCTCTCAGCTTCAAAAGAATACTCCTGATACATCTGCAAGTTGCTGACAATCTGACCCTTTTCCTCTGGAATTGTTTGGAAACGCAGTATGGATTTCCAAGTCAATCACAAATGGGTTTGTTTGGCTGTGTCAGCACAAGCAAAACTGCTGATGCTTCATTTATAACGACAGACCTTTACTCAGAATATTACAACAAAATTTCTTGTATCCCATGGTTAGGATTTAAATCACAATCTCTTGCATTGCACGAATGTGGCTTCTTGCTTTCACAGTGAGTCTTTGGGAGCGGGTTTTAAGCAGATTACAGCTTGAAGATTTCGGTGTATCACAACTGAATTAAACAGCTGCGGGAATTCAGAGCACAGACAATGTGTAGGTTGGCTATTTTTCAGTTAAGTGAGAATGTATCTTAGTGTTTCCCACAACATTTTCGTCATGTTTAATTTCTCTGTCTGTATGAGAACACTGAAGACTTCGTGGAAGCTGTTGACATTTTGTTTGAAAAATTAGTGTCTCTAAGTTGTTCCTTAAGTGAAGTTTTAGGTTAGTTTATTTCTTTAAATCCACAAAAGCAGCCTTTCACCTAATAACCACTGTATTGCCATCTACAACTTGGCTTCTAGAAAACATTCTGACCAGGAAAGAGTATTTAGCCAGAAAAAAGAGAAAGGCTGTAAAAACCTTTGGGTTGTTAGAGGACTATAAATTCCCAAATAGAACAAAATTTGGTGGAAAAATTTTGGGATTTTTTTCTTTTTGCTTGTTGTTGGAGGGGAAGTTGCACTATTGTTTAAAATTTGCTTTAATTCTAGGTTTACAGGAAGGACTATCAAGAATGTAATCAATATGGGTTCTTATAACTACCTCGGCTTCGCAGAAACAGATGTTAATGCTTTGAAAACTGTGACCATAGAGTTAGAAAAGTATGGGACGGGAGTCTGCAGTACCAGACAAGAAATGGGTGAGTAAACAACTGGATGTTTACTCCAGGTAAACCTTGTTTACCAAGGTTTCTGTAATTATATGCTTTTTTTTACAGATATCTTGAAGGAATCGCATCAGCACTTACTTGTTTCGCAATTAAAAGGGATGCTGTGGTTTTTTTGTTATCACATGAGGATATTTTTTCAAAAGGAAAAATAATACTGATTTTTGGAAAAGCAAAACTAAATGCCTGGGATTTTTAATGATGGAAGTAACGGGCTTATTTTTTAAGAGAAGTAAAAACCACATAGAGACTTCAAGAACTGTTCTAGGGCAAATCAGTTGCATCACAGATTTATATCTGTTACCACACACAGATGTTTCAGATAAAGAAAATTATCTTTTACATAATTTTTTTTTAATCCCATGTTCTAAGAGCATATTGAAATTTTTTTATGAGACATTATTGGCACAAAATAGAAATTTCTACTGCACCTTTAAGGAATAAACTCAGGAAGGCTCTATCTGACTTTTTTGCTTTATGTGTCCTTTATGATGTCTGCTTTTTTAGTTTGTGGGCTGCATGTAGTGTTACCTTCAACTTTATATTTTTACACAAAGCCGTGCATTCCTAATGGTACAATCAACTTACATTTTGGAGAGAATTTCAAGCCATAGAAATGCAAGGGGTGGTTTCTCTTCAGATTTTATCTTTCGTAGGAGTTAATTAAAAAAAAAAAAAGGTAGGCTTGTCAGAATAGAGAAGTCTTTTATAGACCTTTTATCCTAATCCAGCAACCTGAAAAAATTTCGTTTTTTATCTCTCGAAGTAAACTCTGTTCCTCCGGAAATGTTATGAAAAAAATACTGTATTTATTTTGAGTTTCTATTAGTGTCTCATTTCCAGATGAAACAATAACACGAACCTTGCCACCTGCTTCTTATCTTGTCAACATGCTTTGATTTGCCAATAATAACTATGTCAGTGACACCACTAAGAGAGGGTTCACAGATTGACCCTACTTTCCTTTTGTAGGTGACCCATCTGGTGACTGCAATATATTATTTAACCTGAATTGCATGCTTGAAAGTGGTCACCATTTCTAGTCATCTAAGGTATTGAAGGAAGCTTTCTTTCTGTCTTTTTGCTCTTGGATTTTGTCTAAGAACATTTCAGTACATCTAAGATTATGACTGGTGTTACTTATTCTTTAGCTTTTGCAGAATTTTTTTAATGGAAGACTTGCGTAACCTTGACTTGTTCTCAAAAAAAAACCAACAAACTTATTAAAAGATTTTTCTTTCATTGGCCCTGGCTTTTGTTGGAGCCTGTCTGTCACCAAGACCTGTATAAACAACCTAAGGAAAATAACGTCATAGCATGGATACCCTCTTTCCTTCCTCCTTTACCCTCTTGTACTGCCTCAGCTCTGCTCTCATCACAGTCAAACAGATTTGAAAAATTCTGAGTTAAATATATATACACATATACTTTCAAGTGAGTTGGGAAGGCTCTGTAAGAAAGGTCTTACCTGTTTCAGCTAGCATTTGTCATCTCCATCCTGGATAAATAGAACAGACTGGGTTTGTTTCTGGGCAGATCACATTTCAAAACTTTTGTTGTTATTGTGTGGCTGAGCTCAAGTGGTTTGAAGTAAAAATGCAGTGAGCTGGAGGAGCCAAGGCTGTAAATTGCCTGTGGGGTCTTAATTCAAGAGAGCACTTGAACATATTTATATTTTCAAGCTACATGACTTTGAAAGCACTGTTCTGCTTGTGTGCATTTAAGTGGCTGGCATGTTTGAGTTTTACCAACATCTCTCTTTGAGAAGGATCATTCCACTACTTTCAGAAGATTTCAGAAGGAGAGCAAAACAAAGAAGACACAAATGAAAGTGATTTGAGTGATGTTTGAAAGAATACATGATGGTGAAACTGTCCTTTGTGCTCTTCTGCCTACACTCCTCCTCTTATAATTGTGCGGGCTGTGGAGTGGCTGTGAATGCTGTCATATCAGAATGTTGTTGCAGGTAGTTTACTCTCAGAATAAGTTAGCGTGGATGTTTAAACATGGTTAAAACTGATAAAAACAGTGGCTGACATTCCTAGATTTGTCCTCCCTAAAAAGATTAAAAGCTTTTCACTCCATTTTTAATTCCATACTCTTTTTAAATGATAATAAGAAATCACTTCCTTAGTAAACAGTGTCATTTTAGACATGTTTCTGAGGCTTTTGTGGGATTTTGAATGTGAAAAGAAAAATATTTTTCCTTTTTTAAGACCAAGCTAGCTATTACCCCTTAGGAGCAAGATCTTGGAGCTATAGGTGGTAGTTCTGTGAAAGCATTAGCTTGTTGTTCAGTGGTCAGAAAGCAAATCAAACACTAGGAATTATTAGGAAGTGAACAGAAAGCCAACCACAGCCTTAGTATGCTGCATAAAGCTGCTGTTTGCTGTTGTCTTGAGTACTCTCTGTAGTTCTGATCAAAAATATTTAGCAGAACTGGAAAGTGCAAGAGAAGGGCCAAAAGGATCATCAAAGGCCTCAAACAGCTTCTGGGTGAAGAACTACTGAGCTTGCTGTCCTCAGCTGTCAGAAATGCCTGTCATCTGCCTCAGAAAGAGCCTGAAGGGAGAAATTATAGAAATCTTCAAAATTATGTGTGGCATGAAGAGAGGTCAGGGTTCACTGTTCATTGCCTCTGCCACTGCCAGATCTACAGGGTGTTGTATGAAGTTGGTAGAAGGTTTCCACCCAAATCCAGGAGGCAGCTCTCCACACTGGAGGCCGGCAGACCCAAGGAACTCTTTGCAAAGGAAGCTGCAGATGCCAGAACTTTACACTCCATTGCATTGCAAGGGACACTGGCCACATGCAGAGGAGAGATCATTGATAGAAATTAGAAAAATACAAAATGTTGTCTGATTCAGGATGTCCTTAAGCTGCAGTTATTCAGAAGCTGGGATACTACTATATATGTCTGTCCTGCATTCGTTCTACCCCAATCAACACATCAGACATCAATACAAGACAACTGTCAGATGAAGGATTACGAGCAAAAGGGACCTTTTTTTGTGTGTATGGTACATTTAGTACTAGTTGTTTAGCATTATTTAATGTAATTAGTTGTTTAATACAAATTTATATTATTAATTACATGCCTATAGCCATTGCTGGACAGTTGTTAATAGTGAGCCTGTTGACTAGCAAATCGTCATACAAATTTGACTTGAACTAGGAATACACACATACTTGTATTGTTATGAAGCTGGGCAGTATTTACAACAAAGGTAGCACATAAGGAACTAATGAAGCAGTAACCTGGCTGTTTTCAGTGTTTCTAAGTACACTAAGATTAGAAAGGTATTAAGGGAAGATACTTAAATCAACAAGAAAGAGATGCACATAAGCCTGGGGCATGTCTTCTACGAGCAGTAGCTTGGGTGAATGTGTGAAAGTGGTTGTTTGCAGATGGTAGGCAGAAGGCAAAACCCAGTGATGATGGGTCTGCTTAGAGGGGAAATACTTTTCAGTTCTGTGTGGTATGTGGCATGGCAGTAGTCCCTGAAGGATCTTGGTGGCAAAAATTTAAGCATAAATAAGACCGTTCAGAAAATTTCAGAGCAGCTGGAGATGTAGAACAGAGAAAGGTCCTCTGGGTCAGAGGGCAGGCTGGGAGGAAGGATAGGACCATTCACCTGGAATGGTAAGAGTATTCTGAGCACATCTGAGACTGGGGAGGTTAAACTTATCAAAGCCAGCAGAGAAGATGCTGCATTAACTGTATGAGATGCCATGGGAGGATACAGCGAGATCTGCGCCTATATCTGACAAAATTGACCATGAGTGTTATTTAAATTAAAACAGCTTTTGTCAGCAGTGGTTTCTCCTGTAGGTGCAGAAAAGGTCACTTTTTTTTTCCCCTTTGGCTAGTTCATTGTACATTGTACATTTTTCATGTCCTGATTAGTTTCTTGAAGTTTTGTTTTTCAGAAATAGACCTTGGGTCTGAATCAATAATTCTTAAATGTTGAAGGATTTAAGTAGCCATCCAGTACCTAAAGGTGGCTACAAGAGAGCTGGAGAGGGGCTTTTTACAAGGGCATGGAGTCACAGAATAAGGGGGAATGTCTTTAAACTGACAGAGGGCAGGTTTAGATTATATTTTAGGAAGAAATTGTTCACTATGAGGGTGGTGAGGCACTGGCACAGTTTGCCCAGAGAAGCTGTGGCTGCCCCATCCCTGGAAGTGTTCAAGGCTGTGTTGGATGGGGCTTGGAGCAACCTGATCTAGTGGAAGGTGTCCTTGCCCATGGCAGGGCGGTTGGAACTAGGTGGTGTTTAAGGTCCCTTCCAACCCAAACCATTCTATGATTCATTCCATAAGTAACTGGACACCAACTATTAGAGTAACTGGAGTGTTTGGAACGTTAGGGTATTTATTGTAATTACCCCCAAAAAATCTCTGTACCACATTTTATCTATTTTAATCTGCCTTTCAAAAGTGTTATTTTTTAGCTTAATAAAAAATACTGGCAAATAGGAATCTAAATAAATATGATGTAGCATATATTCCCTCTATATAGTAGAAAAATAATGAAAGAATGACAGCTTGAATGTGAAGTCCTTTTTTTCCATGCAAATCAATGTATTTTAATGGCTGGAGTGGGAGCTGGCTACTGTTGGAGACAGACTCACAAGCCTTTTGTCTGAGCCTGTCCTGTCATTCTGTGTTTACAGTCAGCCTTTTTTAAGCAACATAACTGAAAATTATTGACAAACAAGCAAATTAGTCTCCTGGTTGCTGCTTGCAGATGATAATATGATCAGTAAAGTTACACTTCTTTTAAGATAAGGCAGATTACCATGCCCTGAACACTCCTAGGCTTAGCACCGGGCTGGTGACAGGACTGTCACATGGACAGCTGGTAGTTCCAATGCTCTATTTATCTAACTCCCCATTATTCCTTATGGAGATGATCTCCGTGAGTAACTGGAGCAAATGTATCATTAGTGCTTCTTAAGCAGCCAAGCAG